GAAATATCGCAAACGTTTCTTTTCTTTCCCTGTTTTTTTTTTTTTTTTTGTGGTTGTGGTTGTCGATTATGACAGTACCAAGTGTGCTTATCTAAAACAAAAATACAGCAACAACATGTGGCGCAATTCTTTTGTTTCTATTTTCATACCCTTACAGACGTTATTTATAATTTTAGGATCCATACCATTGCCATACCATTTGTATTAAATTATAAATGTATTTTCTGTGTTATTTCTGTGCAATATTTAAGTTTTATTTTATATATTTGTGTGATATTTTTAGGACAAATACAAAGCAAAATTTATTTATAAGACAATTTCTTTAATTTTGAAATTTTTTGAGTCGTCTGGGAAGGATAATTTTTTAACTAATTGCAGTCATAAATCAAAAAGTGCATTTAAACTTCATACTTTTTTGTGTGTAGCATGAATCACGACTCGCACTTGACACCTGCCAGCTGCTCTGCCACCCGCTTTTATTTCCCTTTTCGCCACCTTTTTTACCACCCCCTGGTTTTGTTTAGCAACGAATGAGAACAAAGTCGTCAGCCCCAATAATAAAAAAAAAAAAAAAACTGGCAGGCTACAAGTTACCTTTTGCTTGTCTCGAACACCAATTTAAACACCTGCAATAATAAAACACAACGCAAAATGCTGAAACAACAAAGCGCCAGTAAAGTAACATCTATAAAAAATACATTGACAACATCGTCTTGTCTTGTTAAATTGTTGAGGTAATGGGCCAACAGTCAAAAGTTTACTCACTCATTTGTTTTTGTTTTCTTTGGCCTCTTTTCTTGGCTTTTACTGGTTTTGTTGAGCAAACTTTGCAATTCTTCATGGGAAGTTCAATTGGTTGTTGGTGTTGGTATGTTTTGATACCCTGACCTGCTCAACATTTATGAAACTGTCGGTATTCGCAGCTCTTGCGTAATCGGGCCAAAAATAAATAAGTTTGAATTTACGATAAGGAAGCATAAGGCATACACAGAAAAAATAAGATTGATTAAAAATGTTGATACTCTGCTTATAATAATATTATTAATTGGCAATATGTAAAAAGTGTAAAAAGGAAAGATTAGTTTAGTTATAATTTTTTTTTGTATGGCTTTGTTACAATCCATTTAATAATTTGATTATTGTCAATTTCAAATATTATTACTTTATTGCTTTCTTATGAAAAAAAATGTACATTGTAAGTCTAGGAAAAGCTTATTATATTTATATAAATAGTTTTAAACCGTTTAGAGCTGCAGGAACATAAAAGTGTAGTCTTATTGAAATAAACAGTAAATCATGAGGTCATTTGAATTGCAAATTTTCCAGACAGTCGAGTGCAACATTATTTAGATGTCAGAAATGTGGACCAAAGTCTATAAAAGGCAACAACATGCTGTCTAATGATAGAATTACTCACAGTTCATAGGGTGATGTAGAAAGAGGGGCGTGTTCCGGGGGGCGGTGGGCATGGGGAGACTGGGGGCGGGAATGCAAACGAGACCGAGAGACAGTCGTGTAATTACTTGTTGACTGACTGTCGTCTGTATGCACGGACTTATAATTTAATGCGGCTCTTTATATTTATAATCCAAGCGTGGTGACCTTCACAGAAGATAACCAGCTGCGCTGCCAAGTCAGAATTCCGAGATGTTGTATTGTAGAACGTTGTGGTATTTCAGTACCGAGTCATTAGCAAACGTCTTGACATAATTGAATCTGCATACTTAGTATGTAAATGTGCATGTGTGTGTATAGGGCGCTCGTAATAATATCAATAATGTCTATTTCTGTAAGAATGTTGAAAAAGATAGTTGTAAAATAAAAAATTTGTAAAATACATATGACAAACAAAAACTGCTCTTAGTAATTTATGAAATCTGTATGTAAACAGTTAGTAAAAACAGCTAGTATCACAAATATTACATTTAAAATAATTACACGAAATTTGAACTTGCTCAGCACTCCATTAACAATAACAGCACTTTTGTACTTATTTTAATATACTTAACGTACTAAATATAAAATCACTTTAAGTACAAAAAATATAAGTATGCCACAATTTTAATTGAATTTAAATTTTAAAAGGGTCTGTGTTTTCAATAATGCATTGTCTTTTGTCATAGGTCTTGACTTTGATCATTGATCTCTGGACTGTAAACACTGACCACTCCCCATTCTTTACTTAGAGATAAAGAAAGCGGAAGTTCCGACCGATTTGACTTGTTTCCTTTCGATGGATCTCTCGCGTTCAGTTGCACTCGAGAACAGACTATTGATAACCGAAATTGTCTGTGATGGTGTTCCTCTGTCCTACTGTTTCTTATCACAACAAACTGCGACTTGTTCCAAACAGAAATCTGAAAATGAGTAACATGTAGAGGAGATACGAGAGATTATAGTCTGCGACACCATGAGTTTCAAAGTCGTGAGTGCAGTGACCCTGAATATGTTTTCAATTCACATTGCAATTTACTTACTAGAAGGATTGATAAGCTTACTTTGTTTATTGAATAAAATAAAATTTCTGTTGATAACATTTTAATTGATAATTCATTCTTAAAACAAGAGTATTCCTATTTGTAGTAAATAAATTAAAGCTGTTAATCCTAAGGTTGATCTGTGCCCTACATAAATAAAAAATCTATATTTATTGATATAAAACAGTGTAGATATCAAATCAGAAAATCATTAACAAAATATAAAAATATATCGATCGGAAAAGTTTATTTGTATTTAACTTACAAATGCTCTTAATCCGAGAAAGGGCATTCCGAATTCGTCGAGGTCTTTCTTCGTTTCGCTTGATATATAGTTTCAATGCGCTTATTGTTATTTTGTTATTGTTTTGTTTTCTGTTTAAACATCAGTCAGCACACGAACAAAAACAACATTGCAAGAAAGCGAAAAAGACGCGAGTCGCGGGAATAACAAAGCACGAAAAACAGAAGAAGGTTACAAAATACGTTGATTAAAATTCACAAACAAACCGAAAGAAAGGGGCACAAAGAAAAATGATTATGCTCGATTCACACAGCAAATCGTCGTAGCTAAAAGCGCCGAACCTCCCATCCACTTCCCCTTTCCCCCCTTTCCACCATCAGCTGTGAAGCAGTCAAGTGCAGATGAGCATTTGGGTTGAAAGCGCAACGGACTGAGTAAAGACCATCTTTATCTCTCTTTCTCTTTCTCTGTCTCTTATCCCCTTTCACTTACTCCTCTGTTCGAGATGGCATTAGTCATAGATTTCAAAGTAGCTAAAAAGATTAATAGATTTTAAGGTAAACAAATCTTTAAGAATTATGGAAAAAATAAATGGAAATTCAAATTTGACAATGGACAACATAAAGACTTCACGCAGAAAAATCATGGTATATCCGAATATTTTCAGTTTAAAATAAATATTTTAGGTTCTGATTTAGCCTCGAGAGGTGTTGTAGTTAAATCAAAGTGTGTTACACTTTTAGTTTTTATTTTAACTATGCAAAAATTAGCTTTTAACTAAAAAAAATGTAAATCTACAATTTTCCTATTGGATAAACCAATTACATATGTTATTCATGGCATTATCATGTTTTTAGTTTACTTAAAGTAATTTTATTCAAATATTTTAATGTTTAATTTTACTGTGAAGTTTTTCTCTGGTTTTTTTTTCTTTTTTAAAAGTTTTAATATATTTTTAAAGACCAAATTTTCAAAGCTCTCTGTCTCTCTACGTCTTACATTATTAATAGTAATCTTTCTTTAACCTTTTGGTAAAAATTGTAACAAATTTTTAAAGGCAATATTTTCAAACCTCTCTGTAACTTAAAGTTCTCCATTATTGGGAGTTATGTTTAATTCTAACTTTTTTATGGCGGTATCCCAAATCTTAACGGCAGATAAAGCTAAAAAATAAATAACTATGTTGCCTACACAGCTTAAAGGCTTAAAATGCAAAATTGTAGATTGTTAAAAAGTCTGAGCATGTGCGATTGTGTCGGCTGGGCTAAAAGGGATTTACCCAACGGAAAATTACCCAAAAACTTTAAAGCGCACAAAGAAAAAGCGGAACGCGAGTGGAAAGTGCTGCCTGTGGATTCTCAATTGGTTCAAGTGAAGTAACAATGGGGTAGGTCTTCGGCGGGCGTGAAAGTGGCATCCATTAAAGCTGATTACGATCCGAAAGGCCATCCAGCTCGACAAAAAAAAAAAACCAAAGATTAACTGATTCACTTGGAAAAGAGTGTACATTAATGTAATGGAATTTAGGATGTTTCATGTGGCGGATTAAATGCAGTGGAATTTGTTAATGGGAGGAGAACTCAACTGGGTGTGCTGGCAACAAAGCAAACAAAAAGGCTCGAATATATAAATGTTTATAATCAAGTAAACAATTTATATCAGGGTGGCACACAATGATAATGATGATGCGTCCGCCGTCTTTATTAGAGTCTCTCTCCAACAATCTAACATCATTGGCATGCCGCCCATGACACTTGAGTTCTACACATTTTCAGACGGAGAACGTATATACTCACATAATCAATCTATATAAGGTTCTCCGATATAATCAGTTGGTAGCTAGGGGTAATAACTCTAACAAATTGCTACCATATCTGGTTAAGAATAGATTGTATACATATCTATCTGAAGGCGAAGCCGAAGCCGAAGCACTTGAAGTGTGTCAGCGATGACAGTATTTTGGGTATTTGAATTTACAAGATGGTTTCCATCTGCCAAGAAATGCTAGGAATGTATAGAATTCATTATTCCATGTGCTCCAGTTTTGTTCACACTTGTATATACATATAAATATATATTCCGATTATGCGCGGATTATCAGCTGGCTGGCTGGCTGGCGGGCAGTTGATTCACCTTTAGACTTTGCTACCTAGCCTAGAAAATGCTCTGAAAAGATTTTTATATTAATTCTCGTTCGTTGTTTCTTTGCAGTCAGCGAAATCGTGGTCATTGAATGGCACCTTGCAATAATGGACTCCACGCCTAATGCGGCCCTTAATCCGAACCATAATCGGGATTTCCTAACGCTGCAGCCTCTGCGTCCGTCTCGTGGATCCAGCTCAAATCTGCGCTCTAGTCGCTCACCCTCAGCCAGCCGAAGCACCGAGCAAAGTAATTATCAATTATGATTATTAATCCTCCGGACTCCTCCTCTTCCCGAACCACAATCCCCTCCTCGGGCTACTTCTCTTCCATTAGTTAGTGGCATAATTGGATTGATTGGCTCGTGTTGAAGCTTGAGCTTCCTGCATCTTATCAGCGGGGCTAATGTCAATCTGCTGAGGGACTGAATGTGGTTGTCAAGCTCTATTTAAATGGGGAATGCTATATCAGTGGGCGTCTTATTCAATTTGTGCTTCCGCCATTAAAACTGAGATGGAGAAAATATTAGTTAAAGAAACAGGAATACTTTACTTACGTTTGTGAGCATCATTATCCCAAAAAAAATGTCATAGAATCGTAACTATTGTTACTTGAATTTAAAACTATTGGGTATGAAAAATGTCTCAATAAGACTAGTATTCAATTAGAACAACGAAAGTATCAAAATAAAACTTATTTGATTTAAAAATAAAGACTAAGAATACAGTTCAAGAAATAGAACTATATAGAAATAAAAATAAATAGAATAGGGGTTATATTATTTAGTAGTAAATTATTACTTATATTTTAATACTGTCTGCGTTTTATTTTGAAAACACACTTATTAAAACTAAACTTTCATTTTTTTTGGGGTGCACTTTAATATAAAATCTTGGAATAATAATACAAGTTTTTCCGGAACTTTAATATTCAATCTTGGAATAATGTTCAGAGTAAATTTAAAAAAAAAAAAGGTTTTCTTTTTAAACATTTTTAAACTTAAATTTAGTTTATTACAAATTCAGTAATCCTTGACTTCATTATTTAAAAACTTTAACTTTTTCTTTAAATGTTATGTTTAACTCTAATTGGAAGAGAACATTTTTAGGTGCTAACTTCTGAACGGGAAAGATTTTAAAAGTTTTTAATTATAATGAGTTTAAAACCTAAATGAGAAAATAGTTTTATAAGCCAGTAATTTTGATTAAAAGTAAACAATATTATATAGTTTGTTGTAGTTTTCTCTTCAAAAAGCATATCCTATTTTGGGGTACTCTCGTCTAGGAATTTCCACCCCGCCAGATGATGAGCGATGACTCATCTTCAAGAATCCAAAAGCCCTCCCAAACACCCCCTTTACGTCCATTATTCGCAATATTTTTACGAGTTTGGCATCAACAAGCTTACAAATAGCCATATATAAATCAAAAAAGTATAGCCCACTTTTGAGTGCTTTCGTTCATTATGTTGATTTTCAATATTTTTTACTGTGCCTAACATCTGCTTTCAGTTTGATTTCACACTTTACATGTTTTTTTCTTTCTTTTTTTATATTTTCTTGTTTAGCTTTGTAACCGTTGAATATTAGCCTGCCTAACTATCTACACTTGCAATTCAAACCAAATCAATCAGAATCATTGATAAATGTAGGTATACCGACCGATACAAAAATTATTTTGCAAGTTTTAATAACAATGCAAACACTTTTACCATCACACCCATGCACTCATTCACATAAACTTATAACTGTCAATTTGGTTCTATTCACAGCGATTAACACGCAATTTTAAACGCTATTAAACTGCCTGCGATTGCTTCTTCTTTTCCCCGCTCTCTCTTTCCGTCTCTTTTTTGTCTTGTTTGTATATATCTTTACACGGCTCACGCACAGGTTGTCCAACTGTCAATCAATAAAGTGAAATAACTCTTTTTTAAAACACTTTTTCAATACACAACCCACACTCTGAATCATTACCGTTAAACACAATTTATTTTTGGAACTCTGATCACTTTAAATCCGCGGCTAATGTAACAGTTAAATAAAAACATTGAAAATATTGTAAATCATTATTACTATCACTTTAAATTTAGGTTGAAGGTTTTTTAACCACAGTCAATGATTAACTCAGTACACACATAACACACTTAAAACGATAAACTAAAACAAAGTACCTACAAAAATAAGTAAAAAAAAAACTTTACCATTATGACAAAAACAGAAAAACCGGCGTTCGCATAATATCATAAAAATAATATTCACAAAACATTTGCTACAGAATATTTGCAAATTATAACTTATGATTAATTAAACTTATACGCAAACGAGATAAGAAAAACGTAAAGAAAAAAAAAAAACTCATTCTAATAAATGCACAGTAAACTTAAATAAGTAAATCATTCCACACCATCACCATCCCCGTACACAAAATAAACTCAATGTGATATCATTTTTTGTTTTGCATTGCTAAAAAACGTGCCTCATGATCAAAAGAATTTAAAAACAAAACAAAAACAACAACAAAAACCCAGCTTAAGATTTAGAAAATAACCCAAGACGTACTTTTCTATGCGCCACAATTCGCCAGTGTCCCGGGAGCGAGCTAGCGAGGCAGCGGCAGCCACACAGACAGCAGCAGCGACAGGGTCGAGTGCCACATCCGCCGGAGTAACGGGAGCAACGGGAGGAGCAGGGACTGTGGCAGCGACGACAACGGCAACTGGGTGTACTGGAGGTACAGCCTCCGCGAACACGAACAGCAATTCCTCGGCCTCATCCAGCACAGTGGCAGCTGCACAGGCGGCTGTCTACAGCGGCGGCAACACGGTGACCGGCAGTTTGGGCAGCGGCGGGGTGGCGGCTCGTGGCTTCCGCAGCCACAGTCCCACCCACCGGCGACGGAGTCGCGAACGCCAGCGACGCACCCATGGCTCCGATCAGGGCGGCCTGTTGGCCTACAGCGGTCTCGTCGGCGTGAACGACATGACGGATTTCCTGGGGCCACAGCAAAGCGGCGGCGGTGGCGGAGGTGGCGGCGGTGGAGGTGGCGGTGGAAGCGCCGGCACAGGCAGCGGCCTGGAGGACTCCCGATTGTCCGGCAATGAGGATTACTACTCCTCCTTTGTGTCGGACGAGTTCGACAGCAGCAAGAAGGTTCATCGCCGCTGCCACGAACGCAGCTCCAGCGTCCAGGCCATAGACCGGTTGAACACAAAAATCCAATGCACCAAGGAGTCCATCCGACAGGAGCAAACTGCCAGAGATGGTGAGTAAAACGAATAAAATATAATTAAAATATAACACTTTGAAACAAATCGAGCACTCAGAGTACATAAAATCTGTACGCATATTGAAAGTACAGATTCGCAAATTGGTTTGCTAAATTTACCTAAATATACTACAATGATCTTAACTTAAACCACTCTAAGTGCAATGTAATTTCCTTTTACCGCTCTGGATCAAGGACATCTAATTATTTTCTGAGCTCAAACCAGCTACTACGTATTTCACAAACATCAGATTTAGTCGTTCTAGTTAACCAATAAAAATGTTGAAACTAACCAAAAAGTTATAAATGGTTTTACACTTAAGGAATAATAAGCTAAAAGTAAATACAAGATTAAGCAAAACGTTGCTTTGACTTACGTTCTAGTATCACCAATAATATTGTCAATTTAAGTACTTTTTAAAGCTATTTAATTGGGAAATCCAACAGCTATTAACTCCTTTAGATAAAAAAAGACATAAATAATATATTTATTTACCCAGACTTTTCTAATAACAGGTAGTCATCAGATTTTAAAAGCCACAATATATGTATTTATACGCCATTAATTACGTCCTTAATTACACCCTTAATTAACTAACTATTTAGTTGAGAATGTTAATGATAGACATCAATAAAGGCAAAAGAGTTTGTAAAAAAGTTTGAAGGAATATAGGTATAGAAATGACTATAATAACGTGCGATTAGACATTTAAAGAATTTACTGATATAATTTAATTCGTCTATTTTAAATAATGTCAATGAGTATCTGCGATTAGACATTTAAAGACATTTAAAAAATATTTGTTGTCCTCATGAATTTTTCTGATATAATTTAATTCATCTATTTTAGATAATGTCAATGAGTATCTGAAGCTGGCAGCCAGCGCAGACAAACAGCAGCTGCAGCGTATCAAGGTATGTTCAGCCATCTATCATTTTTTAGAGCATAATTGCTTAACTTGGAATTCCTTTGCAGGCTGTCTTTGAGAAAAAGAACCAGAAGAGCGCACACAACATTTCGCAGCTGCAAAAGAAGCTGGACAACTACACAAAGAGGGCCAAGGACCTGCAGAATCATCAGTTCCAGACGAAGAGCCAGCACCGTCAGCCGCGTGAAGTCCTGCGGGACGTGGGCCAGGGACTTCGCAATGTGGGGGGCAACATACGTGATGGCATCACCGGCTTCTCGGGATCCGTGATGTCCAAGCCGCGGGAGTTTGCGCATCTGATCAAGAACAAGTTTGGCAGCGCCGACAACATCAACCAGATGAGCGAAGCCGAGCTGCAGGGCATGCAGTCCGCAAACGCCGACGTCCTGGCGGGCAGTGAGCGACTGCAGCAGGTGCCGGGAGCCGGAACCTCAACGGGATCGGGCGGCGGCGGACAGAACAACAATGTTGGCGGAGCGGGAAGCGGTACGGGAAAATTCAACAGTGACAATGGCAGCGAATGCAGCAGCGTGACCAGCGAAAGTATACCAGGAGGGTAAGTGAAGTGGTGTCTTTTCAAAAAAATTAAATACTTTAAAATATAGTAATTTGTACCTTATGGTAAAAAAAGGTTTCTCAAGAGGACCAAATTTAAGTGTAATTAATAGTTATTCAATTTAATCTTTTAAAAAAAAATAGTCATAACACTAAACCGATTTGTCTAAAATGCCAAATGTTTTTCTGTAAAAAGACCATTCCATTTATATTTAACAGAAAGCTTTTAGCGGAACACTAAATTTTAGGTTTAATTGTAAATGTGTTTTAAATTAAAAAATTTCCTTATAAAAATATATACTTTTTTTCAACCCATTAACAGAAAACAAACATTTTGAAACTGAGTGTTGTCCGAGTCAAAAACATAATTGTCAGGTGTTGAAACCCCATCCGACTGAACTTTCAAGGAGGAATAGCAAATATTTTACCAATAATCCATGCAAAAAAATTATATTTTTCATTTGTTAAATCGTGCTATTTTCTCTACCTCTCGGTTCCAAATTTGTTTATTACTGATAAATTAGAGTTTATAACTCTTGAGAGTATTCCCTTAAAAAAATCCAATTAAAAATGTAAAAACAGCTGTAACTTTTCCCAGCTTGGAAAAATAAAAATCATTCTACGACTATAATTAAACATACATTAATGGCGCAGGAATTAAAAATAGAGGGGTTTTCTGTTTAGGGACATTTTTAATTAATGTTTTGGCTGACATGGAATGGGGTCTGGATACGAATTTAAGCTCTTTATAAACTTTAAAGCGTTTTTCTTAAAACATTGTGTTTATGTAAAATCGGTGAAAATGTTTTCTTACTTATAAAATTGTTGAAAGAACCCCTTAATTATCAAATTTATTCTCTCTATTCAGAAAAAATATTATTGTTATTAATTTTCTGCTAATTCTGTTTATTTATCAATTAAAGGTCGGGCAAAAGCCAGTCGGGTGCCAGCCAATACCACATAGTGCTCAAGACATTGCTAACAGAGCTGGCCGAGCGAAAGGCCGAAAATGAGAAGCTTAAGGAGCGCATGGAGCGGCTAGAGGTACGTGTGGAAAGCCTGGGAAAACTTTGCTCTGTTACCAATAATATTTTAACATGCTTTCTATTTTCGGTAGACGGGCCAAAAGGAATTCAACAATCTGACCGCCACACTTGAAAGTGAACGCTATCGTGCCGAGGGACTCGAGGAGCAAATCAATGACTTGACGGAATTACATCAGGTTCGTAGTTCACTTGGGCTGATGCTTTGGCAGTTTGCCCGACATTCGTGCTAATGCTTTGCTGCCTCCTTTTGTTTGACAGAATGAAATTGAGAATCTGAAGCAAACGATTGCCGACATGGAGGAGAAAGTACAATACCAAAGCGATGAAAGACTACGTGATGTCAACGAAGTGCTCGAGAACTGTCAAACGAGGGTAAGTTCAAACGTTTGGAGCCTACAAGCAACCTCTAGCCAAGCTCATACCATCGAAATGTAAACCGAATCTAACAAAGCTCTTGCCCAGATATCGAAAATGGAGCACATGTCGCAGCAACAATATGTCACCGTCGAGGGCATTGATAATTCCAATGCACGGGCCCTGGTTGTGAAACTCATCAATGTGGTATTAACGATACTGCAAGTGGTTCTCCTGCTTGTGGCCACCGCTGCTGGCATCATAATGCCATTCCTGAAAACGAGGTAAGCAATAATAGTTGCTAAATTCTGTGTCACAATGAATGTCACAAATATTGTATATAACTATTTGCAGGGTTCGCGTTCTCACCACATTTTTGTCGATTTGTTTTGTCATCTTTGTGATACGACAGTGGCCGGATGTTCAGGATATTGGATCCGGCCTAGTGCGCCATCTCAAACAATCGCTGGTGGTCAAGTGAGCTAAGTTGGGTTGGTAGCCACCATCTCATCTACCGAGTAGTTCATACGTTATTTAGTTAGCCTAAGTTATTGAGTGCATATTTTGTATATAGATTATATCGATAACGATTATAACAATTATTTTAAGCTGAAATTGTATCAATTATCAATACGAACACACACTCTCGAGAAACTGTACAAAACATTCATACGCATACGTCTTTATCACATGCCCGCCTAATCATCACAACACACTCTCGCATAAAATTTAGCAAAATTGATTTAAACTATGTAATAACTTAAAAATGCTGACATGTCTACGTGCATTACTCAACTATATTTCAATATACATAATTTATGTATAACCTATATAAAATATTTACATTACTATAAAACAATTGAAATTATATAATATGAAAGTTTGTATAAGTCGAAAATTTATTCTCTATCGGGAAAATTTTTAGAAACGGTGTTTGCCAGTGGCAAATTCTGCCCCCATGCAGGCTGCATTGCCTGCCAATCGACTAAATAGCTCCGATTACCAATCTACCAACTATTATTAGTGGACTTAACATATACCATTGTTCACGCAGTTCGTATATGTTAATTTGAACGGCTGTAGACTTTCCCAGCTTGTAAAAAAAAGATACAAAAATATAGATTGATGACACACCAAAATTGAAAGATAGTTGTTTTAATACTTTTTTTTTAGAGATTAAATCAACTATTGGTTTAGCTGACTTAAGGTGCGTTTAAGTTAACTGCTGGGCACAGATATTTGTGAGGAACCAAACAATATATATATATATATATATATATATATATATATATATATCGATTTTTTTACGGCCGGGCGAACATGGATATGTCTAAAGCGAATTGCCTGTTAGTATCGACCAGAATATATTATCAATTAGACTAATAGGTCGAATAAACCATACCATTGCATACTTTTTGACAAACAAAGTAGGACATATGTACATTTGGGTTGATCGATTTGATGAGGGCCTAAAAATTATAAGAAGTTACTGGATATATTTAGCTAAGTTTTTTACCATTGGTAGAGATGATTTGGAGCTATTCTAAACAAAAATTAAAAAATAAAAAACCTACCTTTTCACACTTATTTTGAGTGCTTAAGATGTCAGGATGTCGCGTCCGAAGCCATGGATTTGCCCATAGGCAGAAGGTAATCTTTAAACATTTCTTATCAATTATTTTTAAAGGAACTATTGCTCTAAAATTACGTTTTACTTTCCATTTGAGGAAAAATACAGTTTTTCAAATGAAAAATTTCGTAGTAGCCTTTAGGGTTTGATCAGTTTTATTATTATAATTACGTAAAAAAAATTAAATCGTAGGGGAAAAAGAAATATAGTTTTTTGATTTTTTTTTTGTGGAAAAATATTATAGTACTTATTTTAAAAATATAACAATTGCTATTTTTTTTTGCTTAAAATAATCTCATGGCCTCCTAAGAAAAATCCGACTAGTTTTCATTGTCTTCAATTGTGTTGATTTGAGGTCTTGCTTTTAAATGGTATATTTTCCCAAAAACCCAAAAGTTATCTTTTCAAAGTGCTTTTGACATTTAATTTTTATTTGCAATATTGTTTAGAATTATCTGTCTATTACCTTTTAGCTATTTGATATTGCTTAGAATTATACGGAGATTACGTTCGCTCCTAAAATTAATCAGTTTTTTGTATCCATACAAATTTCATGAGTTAAAAACATCTAAAGAGGAGCCCAGTTTAACAAAACTAAGTTTTGTAAAACCATTTAGATTAGCATTTAGAATGCAAATGCATAAACTTGGACTTCAAAATGTGTGGCTTACAGCAAACAACAACAAATTTAAAAACAATAAAAATACCTTGTTAATTTTCGTAGCACTGGCAAATTTTAAATTAAGTTTTAACAGAATCTTTTTTTTTATTTATAACCGGCATTCTGTTCAGCACAAGTGTTTTTTTCTTCACGCAATAATTATTGAGAAAGATTAATCGAAAGTAGATCGTTCAGATTTGTTGACTTGGAAGTGGAAAGTTTTGAGAAAAATAAATTTCCATTATCATAGCAGAGTTTAATCGAATCTTACTTAATAATATTGTATTACTGCCCCGGACACAGATGCATCTTGCGCAATTTTTAGAATAGTCTTCGTTGAATAGCATTATCTGATCGTCTCAAAAGACAAAACAATAGAGGCCATTGTCGATGTGTTTTCGTCTCCAAATGGAAAAATGTTGTATTCCAAGTATAAAAGCACATCATTCGACCGATCATTTTAATCAAGTCGAATATCTTAAAAAAACCATTAAAAATGAAGTTGTTTCTGGTTCTGGCATGCATCGTCCTCTATGTGACTATATCCTGTGCCCAGGAGCGCTGCGTTGGTCGTCCCAGTAGGTTTATAGGCTATACCTATAGACTTTAAACTGTATGAACTTTTGTATCTTATAGACAATCAGAATTGCATCGGCGGCAAGCATGAAGGACATGGACGAGTTTCATCTTGTCGAGGAAATGCTATGGATGAAATGTGGTACTACAACCAGCGATCCAGAAAATGCCTTAAGATGAAGTACCTGGGATGTGGCGGCAATCGAAACCGTTACTGCTCCTTAAGGCACTGCCAAAGCTCGTGTCCTTGAAATCGAATATATAATTTCTGATTCTGCTCTTATATGATTTCATTTTTTTGTGAATGTTAAACTGCAAGGAAATAAAAAAATTTTTTTTATTTTAACAGGCTAAATTTTTTGTAAAAATGGTACCTTCGATTTTAAAAAACCCCAAAAATTTAAAATCGCAAATTCTTAAATTTAATTTCATTTATCCGCACAATAAACTAATATATTAAAAAAATGTATTAATTTTTTTGTAAATACAACTTTGCGCACCCAATACGCCATTTTTTGTTTTTAAAGACTGACCGACCGCTGCAAATTAAAAAAAAAAACAATCCTAGGTACTCTTCAAATATATTTATATTCGCTTAGAAATGAGAAAATCGCAAAAATCAGCGTTTTGTCCCCTTAAGAACTGTAGTTTTAATTTTATTAAAATTGTAGCGTTGCAACAATAGAGAAAAATATAACTTCGCTGTTATTCAATTTTTGTATACTACGGTTCTAAAATCATTCCAATCAGACGACTATATCATTTGTACAAAATTTCCGGAGGTGTTTGAACTGTATGGGTGACTGTGTCACCCTTCCCGTCAAACCTAAGCACATCGGGGGGCGCTTAAGCGAGCCTGGGAACTTACTTCTTCGATTATAGCATCTGGGCTTGGGGCTGGTAGCTCAAGTGGTGGGTCTAAGAAAATTAGGTACTTGTAAGCAATATTTTTTTTGGTAGTAAGAAAAAGCAATTCTTTAGTTTATATCCGTTACGTTTATTTTGTTGAATGTAAATTAAATTTAGATTACACTGCCACAGCATTTTTAAATATATATCTGCATCTATGCCCTAATTGATTTCGTTTTGTTGTGAACAGCTTTTATTGGTTGAATATATATTTTTATTTTTGGGAAAAATAATCACAAACTAGCGCCTAATTTTTCTACTTTAAGTGGAGTGTGGCAACGACTTTGACTCGAAATATAATTTTCCATTTTGAAAACAGAGTTGGAAAACCTATTGCATCATTGGATTTTTTTTTGTTATATGCTATATAGTAAACTTAAAATTAGTTAAATCGAGAATAATGTACAGTATACGGGCCAATTCCACATAATCATGCGTTTGCACTAATTTCATTGCAATTTTGTTGGATAACAGTTCGCAAGTACAACGAAATAAAATGACCACTTATTGGGTAAAACATGACTATTATTTTAGTGAATCAGGTTAATAGGTGTGTGTCTGAGTGTTGCTTGATTTAATACAGAACCAATGATTAATGCGAATCAGGTAAACAAATAAATCTTAAACGTGTTATTCTTGGCTTTCCATATATCGTTTATATTTTTGGTTGGGAGTTTGCAGGCGAGGCGGTATCTATGTAAGTATGCCGATTGGGTTAATTGTAAAATGTATATAAAATAAATCACAATTTGTATACGCATATAAATGACGTGTGTGTTTTGTGTCTGTGTGGGTATTTGTGGGTGGGTGTCCTGGAAGTGGGACAGCGCACAGTCCAACACAAGGTTCGGCTACATATTTATCAATATTAATAATAAACATTTGTTAATTATTTAAAACAAAGCAGCTGGCAGCCAAAGCATTGATCGCAAGCCCACAATAAAAAAAACTCGGAACCGGATTGGTGGTCCGTGGATTGGCGACCACCGACACAACCTACAGGCTAAGGACTCGTGGCGAACTAGCTCGCCTCATATGAGAAACTGGCGATCGGAGGCGCTGTGCGGCAGGGCGGCCACGCCTATGCCTCCCTGCGTGGGCGTTTGCAGGAACGCCGAATCGTCGACGGCTCCCGAGTCCGCGGCAGGAGTGCTGATTGCTATCGGTTCGTAGATCGAGCGATGCGGTGGCATTTCTTCGTCGTCCTTGAAGGAGCCGCTTAAATTCGGATTGAGGATGTTGTTCGATGCGGGCATGGCCACAGCAATTGTCCCCGTCGCGGGCAGACCCATGGCACTGGTACCGGACTCAACGTGCTCCAGATAGGGTGGCGCTGCCACACTTATTACAGTCGGTCGCCGGCGGAAGAACGAGCTAATGAGAGTAAAAGCACACAATTATTTTATGGATTTTAATAAGAATATAATTGTGTCACATAATCCAACACCCATGAATAAATAAATATATATATAATGGATTGCTAAAATGAAGATATTAGTTAGGGGTAAAAAATTAGCATATTAAGGTAAATATAATAACAGGAACTTTGTTAAAAATTAAAATTTTTTTTATTTCTCAATTAAAAAAACTTTTATTTCATTAAACCTTTTAACCGAACTACATAGCAACTAGAAAAACCATTATCGGTACCGAAACATTAGTACCGGTCCTGTAAAAATGTGTTTTTTAATACTACATAAGTCGTAAAACATCTTAACCATTTATTATTTTAAGAGGATTATTTTCACACTCCATATCATTCAAACAAAAATTTGCTAACGTAAATTTTACACGTCAAACATTTAAGTTAGTGTACTTAGTGTGAAAAATAGTGTCGATATGTAAATAATATTAATTTTTTATATAAAGTTGCTAAGAGTTCATTAGTAAATAAGTACAAGTAAAAAAATTTAAAGCTATTGCATGCAAAAATCTTTTCCGCTCTTATCTTTATTTTTTTGCAATAATAGATAGTTATTTGAACCATTACGATACTTGTTACTACATGTTTTGGCTGTGGTACCGTAACCGCAAACGAAATACAAATTTTTACCAAAACCAATATATTGGTTGGATTCGGTTTTAATCTCTGATATACTTACCCAAAATTGATGCGCGACCAGACCGAGGGACGAACTTCAGTTAACTGCTCGGCTAGGTGAGCCGGTAGATTGGGAGCACGGTCAAAGGGATTGATGCGTTCGTGTGCTGCAGACGTGGCCGGACGTACTTCGTAGTCCAGTAGAGCTGCCCAAGCAAGCGCATTAGCTAATTCAGCAGATACAGAATCAATTTCGCCAGCAGACGTACCATTCTCATCGTCCGAGCTCTGAGACTCTTCAAACGGATTTCGGCCAGCGTCT